TAACTGTTTTTACCAGTGTCACAATGTAAGAAAGAGACAGAGAGACTGGATAACTTGCTCAGGACATGGAACAGTTGCCCCAGGCCTCTACTTTCAGCCACAAGGTGTTTCACTTGGGAGGTTTACATGGGAGAGCCAGCTCTCCTACCCTGCCAGATCTCTCAGGCTGGCTGGACCGTGTCCTGAGTGATCCTTTGCCTCAGTTGTAGCACACTGAGGACACTGGAGAATCTCACTCCCTCTTCCCCCTCCACACCTCCAGCACCTCATATGCCCTGAAAGCTCAGTGAATCTGTTGACAAATGTCTCCACACGGAGTCATCTAAGTATAGCATGCAGGTTGTTAAGCTGAAGAGGACTTTCCATGAGTCATTTTGCTCCTTTTCAAATGCTTTTACCCTTGTCTAACCTTCAGAATTTACTTACTTTTCCCTTTGGCTTAATATTGTTCCCAGAACTTCCAAATTGAGGACTGTGAACTAAAAACGGGCAACTTTGAAAGAAAAGTATTCCATAGTTCTTTGTTTTGTTTAATCCTCTTTGTGGCATCATATCCATTGGGCAATTTATATTTCTTTTCATGTCCCTTAAGTAATGTTTTATTTTTAGAGAGTTCTAACCCAGAGGGCATTCCAAAGACAATGATATTGCTAAGTTGTTTTTTTTTTTTTAACAGAGGATTACAGAATTTTTTTAAAAAGCACACTTTGCAGTTTGCTAACAGACTTTGAAAGGGGTAGGATAGTTGGGTAACTGGGAAATGCAGGCATTATTTCCACACTGACTGTATTGCTTTCCCTCTTTTCTTCCATAGTCCCGAGAGGATATAAAAAGAGGCCTATAGCCATCAGTTCTAAAAGCTTTGTCTCCCTTGTAATCATAGCTGAGGTGTTCCATGTAAAATTTCTTAAGATAATGAAGATGAAACCTCTTGACATGGTTCTCGGGAACAAAGGAAATGTATCCAAGTCACTCTTTAACCAGGAAGCTTTTGTTCTTCTGACACAATGTACACCCCAATATCATAGAGGATGACTTCATTTTTAACCTTCATCTTTTTTTGTGAATTTTTAAAAAAGTGATTAGGAAAACTTCAGCTAGATAAAAAGCAGAGAAAACAGTATCATAAATCATGTGTACCCAGGTTCAACTTTACTTATTTTCTATTAATTGTGTAACCATGCATGCCTATCCCATGAGTACTAGGTGCCCTGTTCAATTGGGTTTTCCTTCAATGTTGCATTTTCCTTTTAGATAAAATCCTCATGTTCTCACTGGAAAAAAAGAGAATCTTTTAGACTGATTCCAACCATCGTTCTCTTCTCTCTCCTACTGCAAAGAAGAAGTGGCATTCTGCTGTGGTTTGGGATGGGATGCTGCTGTGAGGGTTGTCTCCTCCTGAAGTGGTGTGGGGTTCAGGAGCTGTCAAAAGACACAGTGTTGTAGGAGAACAAGAGAGGCACTGGAGCTCATCCTTAAAGAATTAATAACCTTTGGAGACATTGTTGGGTAGGTGATGAGGTATAATTGTAATTTGTATTTTGATGACAATAGTAGATAACATTTTTTGGTATGCTCACTCTGTGCCACACACTATTCTAATCACTTTAAATATATGATCTCATTGAGCCACTATATTCATTTTCGTAGTGACACAATGAGGTATAAAACTATTACCATTTCCATTGTACAGATGAGAACTGGAGGCATAGGGAAGTTCAGATATTCACAGACTTTCAGGGTGAAGGTAATTGAGACCAACTCATTTAGTAAGGGAGCAGGAGTGCAAGGGGCAGAGGGTTCTCTCCAGGACCTTCTGCTGGTGAGTGGTGGGGCTGAGATTCCCCTCTAGGAACCTGATGTGATACCGAGCATTCTTCTTCATGGCCAAAGCACCTCATGAATCTTCTCTTCCTATCTGTGCCTTTCAGGAATAAAAAGCAATACTTCTTTGTTTTCTTTTGAATCTTAACTCTGCTACTTATAGAACTTAGCCATATTCAAACATGGTACAAAGACAAAGTAAAGTTAGTGGAAGAGTCTCTTGACTTCTTATTGAAATTCCTAATATCAAATGGATTGTTTTTATTCCTTTTTTCCATTTCCTCCACCTTATAGCCTCAAAAAAATGATTGATGTCTGAAGGATAATTTCTTTCTCTGCCACCAAAGGTATTGTCCATTGTGGTGCTTATTCATGTCCTTATTTTACTTTTATAGTAGAAAATTGTACAGGGCATAAATTCAGTTAGAGGAACAGTGAAACAGGTCACTGATTCTCGATCAGAGGCTGCAAAAAGAGATGGGAATAAGATTGAGTTATAAGAACTTCCCTTTTCCTTTTTTATTTGTAATGCATATCACTGCTTCTCATGGGTTTTTATCTATTGCATATGTTAGAATCAGTTGTAGACATTATTATTTGGACCAAGTTTGGTTACTAGAAGTCTCTTCAGTGTGATTTCTGTGTCCTTTTGACATAACCCTGTTAGTTTAAACTTTCTTACTTTCTAAGACAAGGTGTTTCAATATGATATCATATTGTACTTTTCTGCTAGTTTTTTAATTTTTTTAAATAATCACTTTTACTATTTTTCTTTTGTGAAGAATAGAAGGAATAGTTTAGACTAGATGGATGTTAGTGTCCCTTGCAAAAACTTGAAAGCTTTTAGTTCAATCAGTGTGTGTCATTTGGGATTAAAAGAAATCATCCTTCAAGGGCATTATTTTTAGTGCGGAGCCTTATTTTGGAAATGGAGCTTATGTTTTCTAAATCAAGAGTCTCTATTTTTTACTAATTTTATCTTTTCTCTTGTTAAACTTTTCCACTAATTTCTCACTTTGACTACTGAGCCATATTTAAAAAAAGAAACACTGATATTGATATTGCTTACTGTAGAGATTTCATATGCAAAGGAATGGGAACTATTTTCAGACATGACCTTGTCCAGACAGTGGGGAGAAGGATCACATGTGCAAAGGGTGGCTGTCCTTGGCTTTCTCCATTCCGCAGGTCCAGAGGGTCGCTCTCCCTCCGCACTCCCAAACCCAGTCTATCCAAGGCTGGATAGAGGAAAAAGCAGCTCATTTCAGGGCTAGGTATTCCTGGGGTCACCTCTTCTTAATCTCGAAGTATTTAAGATTTTTGGTGTTGTTTTTTTTTTTTTTTTTTGCTTATTAATGGTTTTTACTTTTAAAGTGAAGCAAAAACCTGTAAATTTGAGTGAGGATTAAATGAAAACTATACAGTGTAAGCACAGAAACAAGAAACAGAGGTAACAGCAAAGGTTCAATAGTTGCATACTTCCTATCTTATACTTATTTCTCTGTCCACTTTTTGTTTCTGTAACTGAGTGCCATCGACGGAGTAATTGTTAAAGAATAGAAGTTTACGTGGCTTGTGGTTCTGGAAGCTGGGAAGCATCCTGGGAGTCTTCCTGCTGCATCGTGGTCATAACATGACCCAGGCACCACATGACAAGGCAGCAGCATGGTCAGCTCAGCCAGGCCCTACTTTCATGGTCTCTTCTAACCGTACTTGCCTTCCAGAGACCCTACATAGCAACACCGTTAAGATTTGGGGAATTAAGTTTCCACATACCTTTAGGAGAAGGTAAATCAGACCACAGCACACATGCAGGATGTATGTGTACTTCATATAATAATTTTTAAAACACTGATAACTGTAAGACAAATACCAAAACTACATAAAATAATTGAACAGTTTATTTAACTTCTGAGATGAACATATTTTTCAACAGTGTCTGTCTAAAACAGGCCTTCTTGCTTGTTAGATGAGCAACACTTGTGGTGAGCAGGACACAGCCTTACTTTCACAGATGACATTACAGCATGCCATACTGCCAGAGGTCACATGGGAAAGAGAGATGACATTTCATTTAGCTAAATTAACATTGGCCCCAAACCCAGGAAGAGACTTTATTAGCAGAAGGAAAGCTCTTTGTCCTGTACAGTTTGGTGGACATTGCTGTGGACTAGCCACACAATTCCATACCCTACTTCTGTAGCTATGGAAGACCCATTTGTTTTGTTGTTTTTAAGTTACAAAATAATTAGAAAAAATGCAGATGTTTAGAGACCCTTGTCCCAGAAACTTTAAATACCTAACTTGTAAAAGTGAATTTAAAATGTCATGAATCCGTAGAGAGGAATGTTCAGACTTAGGTCCATGGCTGTGCTTGGCTTCATCTCTGGATGGGCAGCAGCTATTGACCATAGCCCTGACAGCAGTACACAAGGCTCAACCTGGTCTTGCTCTTCCTGGGCTCCTCCCTCATTTTACTTGCTGTAGTCTACAGCTGCAAATTGGCTGTGCCTCTTCTTCACCTGCTCCATACTCTCCAGACCTCTAGGCTGGGTAGAAACCTGATGAGTTGTGAATGCTGCTGTAGGAAATCCTTTGTACCTTACCATCCCACACTTAGTGAACTTTCTTGTCCTGCTCTGTTCACCTGTGGCATCCTTGCAGGACAAGCCTTCTGGAACAGTCTCCCAGGCGCTTTGCCTTGTAGTCACATGTGATGGCAGCTTGTCCTGTTGGCCAGTCTTGGGAGGTCAGACTCTAGCTTCCGCTAGCTTGGGATTAAACAAGGGACTGTCTTTTTTGTTCTTTCTGCTCATGTTTCCTTGCTTTATTTTTATTTTTTTCTTTAATGCTTGTCCTTTAAAAGTATCACAAAGCTGTGGCATTATGTCAGCCCTTGGGATTGTTGTTTGGGGCCAGGTGATAGGCAAGAAAAACAAAAATGACAAAAGAAGCAGAAAGGCAAACCTTTTGCTCTTGTCTCTAGCTGTTGCCACTACACACAGGGATTCATGTGCAAAGCAGTGTATTCACATTGTATTTGAATGTTTAACTTGGAATAAATATAGGCATTAACAATTTTTTTAAAGTCATTTCTGATTGACAATAGACATTTGAATAGCTGCTTGCTAGGTTGACTCTCAGAGCTGTGGCATCGCTCTTGAATATTTTGACAGCTTTGGTGTTGTTTGGGACCAACAAAGGAAGCTTACTCTGTCATTAAGACTGGCTGAGCCATGGCCACAGATGACACATGCAGTTGTTCAATGCCTATAGCCCTGATGACTGCACACTGATGCATAGAAGAGTCACAACTGGAGAGATATCAGGTATTTGATTAGTTTACTTTCTGTAACTTCTATATAATTTTAACATACTATTTTACTTTTATTTTTGTTCATTTAAATAAAATACATAAGAATCTTATAACTTGTGCTATAATTAATTTTTTGAGACAAGTTCTTGCTATATTGCCCAGGCTGGTATTAAACTTCTAGACTCAAGTAATCCTTCTGTTTTAGCCTCCCAAGTAGCAGGGATTACAGGCATGTACCACCATACCTGGCTAATTTTTGATAGCTTCTTTCAGGCCACTGTAAACTAAACACACCTCATGGGCTCTTTTTTTTTTTTTTTTTTTGTGTGTGTGTGTGTGTGTGTGTGTGTGTGTGTGTGGTACTACAAATCAGACCCACAGATACTTTACCACTGAGCTATGTGCCCAGCTTTTCTTTTTCTTTTTTTAAAATTTTAAATTTTTGAGATGAGGTCTTGCTAAATTACGTGGGGTTGACTTGAACTTGTGATCCTCCTGCCTCAGCCTCCCAAAGTCCTGGAATTCCAGATATGAGCTACCAGGGCCAGTTCCTCATGGACTCTTTTGGTACTCTGTGGTCAGTGAATTTGGTGACATCTGTATAGGTTGGCACTTTACATAGATGGTGACCAAATAGGCAGTGGACCTGACAAGGGAAGGGAGAAAGGCTCAGTAGAGGGAGAGAGGCTGGCTGACTGAATGTCTACATTCCTTAATCCCAGATTTGTACCAGACCACATGGTTCTGAGGTACAAGTTCTCTCTCTTTTCCTGACTTGTAGAGAATAATGCCGACAGTCTGGCTGAAAATTGGGTGCATTCGTAATCTGACCGGCTGAGGGTAGGTCTGACTGTTTTGAATAGACTGCAAATGGATTTGTTTACCGGTTGCATACCAGAATTTGGTAAAAGTTCCAAATTCAATTAAATGTCAGTTTAGCATGTGTTTAGTATATAGCATTAATTCCTAAAGTGTATAAAAGCGAAAGGCTCAACTCAGAGAATTTAGAGGCAAATACTTGCTCTGCCAGCTTTGTGGGTTAAGTATACCAGTGTTTGAAAATGAGTCTAGTGATAATGAAGAGTGGCAGGAATGGCAGTTGGTGGCCAGTGGGTCTCACAGGCATGTCTAGAGGATGAAGCCCAGGGGAGCCTGTAGCAAGTGCTTACCTACAAAATGAGGCAGTGCCCATGAGGGAGATCCATGCTTTAGAATATGTAGATTCTCACTTACTAAAAATCAAGATAGAATACAACAAACAAAATTTCCCTGGAGTCCTTCATATAAACTCCCTGAAGCCAAGCAAATGATTGAGTGAACATTCCTGATTGGTCTGGTATTCAAAGCACTGATGGGGTTCTCATTGCTTGGTAAATACAACAATTCTTCTTTAATTTTAAAGGGAAATGTTGTAAAATTTATGTTTTCTCAGAGTCCAGTATATAGTGGTAAGGTCCCTCCACCTTTAATTCCTTCCTGTCTCAGCTGTGGACAGTACATCCGTGGGAAAAAGCCATCAATATGTTATTTCCCACCCTATAAAGAAAGGATGCACTCAGGCATTGTCAAATAGAGCTTCAGAAGTTAATGTATTACCATTCTTATATTGGTGCTGTAGGAAGTGGCTTAAGTTGCATTGTCAGGGTGTGAAGAGGCAGTCTTCCATGAAATCACATCCAGGGAAATCCATTTGTTAACAGTTTGGATTTTTCTTATGGTATCATTTGTGTGCATACAAGGATATATCTTTTTATTTTATAAAGCTAGGGTCATACTGTATGTAAGGATTTGTATCCTACATTTTCACACATCATATAATGTACCATCTCACTAAATATTCTTTGAAAATATAAATTTTTAGGATTTATTAATAACCCCCTTTTATTAAATAGTTATCTGTTTTGTACTTTTATAAAAATGTCAATCATCCTTGTACATTAGGTTGGTATTTGCACACTTTTTAAAGTAAATTTATATGTTATTAGTTTAAATATGTATATTCTTAATAAACATTGCCAGAATACTTGGGAAAAGCTCATTTACTGTTAAAATATTGTTTTCTATATTCACAGATAAAATATAACACTTTTTTATTTCCTTGATAACTTAAGAAAATGAGATTTTCTGTATAGGTATGTGATATATTTATTGTTGTTTTGACTTATTCTTCACCTTATAAAGCAATTATCCCAGCCGACAGGCTTCCCTCATGAGCCCGAGCAATGTAGTCATAGTTTATAGCTGACCACAAACCTGGCAAAGGGACAGCCATTCTTACAGATTTGTTGATTAGATTGATCAGTGGCTTTTATACCTACTTAATGCATGTCTACCATAGCTTTCTGTCCTTTATTACTTCTTCCCTGACATTAATTATGGGGCATACTATGGTTTAGTAAATCAGTGGGAAAACTTATCTGTTGGGTGGAATAGTTTTTCCTTATGAATTTGCAAATTTGTTAGTATCATACTTTAAAACTATAATTTTTGTTTAGTTAAATACTACTCTCTACTTATTTGGCAGCTGCCTATTTATTGGCCTGAGAAGGACTGAGAACTCATGCAGTTCATTTTCTGCCACAGGCAAAGCCTAACTGAATTAAACTGGGAGAGATACCACAGACCTTTGCATTTTTCCACTGCTTCTTTCAGGCTAGTTTGTTTACAGCTTACCTAATGGTGGAAAATTAACTGATGATGAGATACAAATGATGGAACGCCCACTCACAATGGTTTTATGTTTGAGTTTTCAATTTTATGGAGGCACAAAAGTGATGTACATTCACTAGAAAAAACATTCTGAGTTTTTTTTTCCTGGGAGAGTGATACAGTGTGATACTCTTGTGATGCTGGATGGCAGCAGTGAACTACCACGTCCAGTCAGGCATATGACCCCCTGGGAAAACAGCTGATGCTCTGCAGTAGACAGTGTTGCCGAGCTATGATGTTTGGTAAGTTAGGTATATTAAATGCATTTCAACTTCCAATATTTTAAATTAATGATGGGTTTATCAGGACATAACCCCATGGTAAGTAGAGGAGCATTTGGAGACTTCTAAAAACCATCATGGTTGCCTAAGAACAGTAGTGTTTCATGCACCTTTGGAACCCCTTGGAGAATATACATTATTTGGTGCTTGAGTACTTGGAGCTTCAGAATTTCAAAACTTCTTTACCTTGGGAAGAAGCATGCAGCTTTCCTTTTACCTATCACACTGGAGCAGTTTCTCTCTTCAAGTGGTAGGGAGGTAAGGGAGGTAAGCCAGGGGGAATCAATGCATCCATCATGTGAGCTTTGGATTTATAAACAACTGGAACATATAGATACACATAAAGATGTAGATGTAGATGTAGACATAGATGTAGATATAGATATATGTTAGTTTTGTCTGTTTCATATCCAGATTGACAGTAAACCAGCTGGCAAAAGGAGCATATTTCTAAAACATTCTTTGGCATTCATTAGTTGGCATACCCAGAGTGATATGAAATATCCCCAGGTTTTCTCAAATTCCAGGGGTTTGTAACTGCAGCTGATGTTTTCCTCTAGCCAATTTTACCTAACTGGTATTCAGTAGTTTTCTTATGGTCAAATTTTAAATTTAAGGAGCTGGAGGTATAGCTGGGGGAGAGCACATGCTTAGCTTGTGCAAGGGCCTTGCTTTGATCCTCAGAACCAAGAAAAAAATACTGTATTTTAGTTGGTAAATTTAAAATATACTAAAATATTATGTAGTTCATTTCTTAGAATTTTAGTTTTTCTTCCTCTGTAATTCAACAATTGTGACACGATGGCAGTATTATTACTTTAATTTTTAATTCTTTTTTTAAAATATGGTTTTATAAAGTGTGATCATAACTATATTAAATATTATAACTTGGATTTTTCTTCTTAACATTTAATAATAAAGGACTTTCGTAACTCAGTGTAGACTTGATAATATTAATAGCAGTAAAATCATTTTCTATCACATGAACATAACTACTTATGTATTTTCTGTTATAGGATGTATCCATAACTTCTAATTCATTTATTTATATTATAATGTACAGATGCCACAAATGAGACTATATTTGCATAATACTATAGTATTCATTGATCAAAATATTCAATACAGTATTCAATGAATACTATAGTATTCATTGATCAAAATACCAAATATTTGAAGGTGAAAAGCAGATTTAAATGGAAAAGTAGCATGAGGCTGTGTAATCATCTCAAATAGTTCAGTTAGTCATAGCTTTAAAAATTACTCTGTCATGTCAGTGGCTTAGGAGAGAAAAAATATTCTCACTTTTAATATTGTACATTTGTAGGTAAAGATTTGAGAAGTTACAACTGAAGCCCTAACTGAGGATGAGAGCTGAAACTGTCCCCGCCTAAAGCTGCAGCCTTGGAAACACAGCACTCTTGGGAGGAGAGAGAGAAAGCCTCTTCCCACCTAGCTAGTTTCTTGTACCCTACATCCTAGGTGGGCATGCGGAAGGCCCAGAGGAAGATGGTTTGCTTCTAGTGCTGTTTGTCTGTTATTACTATGCATTTGATCTTGATCAAGTTACCTTGTTTCTCTGGACCACTTCCATTTTATATAAAAAACAGAAGCATCACATCAAATAATGTCTAGCATAATTCCCAACATCCTCTACTTTTCAGATTCATAGGTGTCTTGTCTGCTCACAAGTGCTCTGAGTGGCCTAGAATTGTAGGAAATTAATATGACTTACTGGGTGGAAGAAACTTAATTCTGATGGGGACCAAAAATTTTCCAGCATGGGTAAGTAGAAGGCCCAATGTGTGACATTACTTTATCACATAGTCATGCCATTCCTGGTGTTTCTTGCTTATTGTTAATGCAGCATATCTTTGTTGTTTGGGAACCTAACTATAAGTAGAAATGCTTATTGATCATTGAAAGCTCAAGTGATACGTTGGTGCATGGCTGTGACTGTGTTTTTTCCTGCTGAGAAGTCAATCCCTGGCCATCCAGGAACCTGTCAGTTGCATTTATAACA